AAGGCGAATAGATTGGAAAATAAATTTTAAATGATAAATTACTGCTAAAGTCTATAGCAGTATGTCTTCAAAGAAAATTATTTAGTCTCAGTCAAGTTTTTTGGTTGTTTATACCACATCTGGAGGTGGATCCAGAAATCAATTGGGGTCCGCATTTTCTAAAATATTTCGATTTTCATAAAAAGCTTCTTGATTTTTCAGAAATAATTGAAATAATTGATTGATAGAAGTGAGCAAAGACTAACACAAAAAGGGAACAAAGTAAATTATTTCGACTTTCCATGAATGTCGCGAAATATGTGTGCTCGGGATCTTTTTTTTTGTTCAGACCAATTTCAACTTTTTGTCTAACCATTTTTAAGGACTACTTTATCTATCATCTGCAATTTAATGATGTTTTGAGCTCAAATTTCAAAAGATATGTTAGCAGCGCTTTTTTTAGAAAAGTAATTAAGGTCTGAAAGTTGCCAATTTGACCGATTTGGGACAAAAAAAAGCCTAATTATTTAGTGTTTGTAACGCGTAAGCAGCTATTTAATGCGACAAAAAAATCGTTTTCAATTGAATTGAGGCATACTAGTTCTTTTAACTAACACTTTACTTAATATACTATTCTGTATTTTGAATTGATTACGGGAGATGATGTCAGAAATAAGACAAATAATGATATGTTTTCATTCTAACTTTCTTAAAGCGAAAACTACTTAGAGATAAACTAATAGAGATTAAAGGGCAGTCGGTAATAAAGGGCAGTCGGTAATAAATTTGTGTTCCGACTTTCGATACGAAAGTAACGGAATATTTGTGCTCGGGGTGGGTTTTTTTTTCTTCAGACAAATTTCGACTTTTTAACTAGCCATTTTTGGCGGAATTTTTTTATATCATTCGAAAGCCATTGTTGTCCTGAGCTTAAATTTGAAAAGATATTTCACCTGTGATCATTTCTCGTAAAGTTATGAGGGTTTAAAGATTGCAATTTTGGCCATTTTGACCAATTTGGGACAATTAACGCGCGATATAATTCGCGCTATTAACGCGTAAGCGGAGATTTAATCCGTCTTATAAATCGTTCCAAATTGGTTGAAAGAAGCCTATTTGCCATAATTGATTTGTTACAAGGAGCGAAATCTATTGTTTTGTACTTTATATGGCGAATGGGGTGATGATTTTCATTAAAAAAAAACTTCATATTTTAGAAAAAAAATTTTTCATTTTATTTTATTTTATTTTTTTTTGATGTTTTTACTGCTGCTCCATAAACCTTAAAAGGCAGTCGTAACATTCAGGGCTTCGCCCTGATACGAGCAGTCTTGTTTAATTTTATGTATGGCAGTTTTTCAATGTGTTCAAACTATAATAACGTGTTAAATAGAGCGTAATAGTTATCCCAAAACTGACAATTTTGAAAGCTCAAAAAATTGCAAACTTGATCTACAATGATTTTTTTTTAATTTCCGAAGAAAGTTTAGAACTAGGACAAAAAAGGTTTGAAAGTTGCCAATTATATATACTTCGGGCGTTTGAAAGTATATATTTGAAAGGTTTGAAAGTATATATAAGGTTTGAAAGGTTTGAAAGTATATATGTATAAATATATATATATATATATATATATATATATATATATATATATATATATATATATATATACTTTGGGCGACTTTTCATTTAAACTATTTTCTACGACCGGATTACTAGTTTTCAACAACAAATTATTTCGGGTAAATTGTTGTAGACAAGAAAGTGGTAAAATTACATGGCTTTAAAAAGTTGCAAATGGATTTCACCTAAGCTAAGCAGTCCTCCTAATATTTCAAATATTTAAAAAATAGCTATTTGAAAAATCGAAAATCGATTTATTGATTAAGAAGTAAGCCTCTGATTAAAAGGAACTTGTATGCGTCTGTACTTAAAAAAAATTTTGTTTGTCAAATGATAGCATTCCTTTTCTCCAACTTTCTCTTCTTTTTGTATTAAAATTGAAAAACAATTGTAATTAAGTTTTCATGAAACAATTTTGCTTTTCTCAAACAAAGTCACTCCTTTGAAACAAACTGTTGTTAGCGGGAAGGCTCGAAGCCTTAATTAACCTTGAAGCATACAAAACTTCTGAAGTACTTTCGAGGAAAACTGAAACGCCTGCACAAACACTCGAGATATTTCAACGATTTAATTGGAAAAGAGAAGGATGAAAATTATCGAAAATATTTATGCACTTGAATTTCAAGGAGCAGCTATAAACAGCTACCAAAATACGTTCCATGAAGGTATAAAATGCTAAACAAACTGATGAAAATGAAAAGACTGTTTGTATCAATGATAAATCTTGATTTTTTTGAAGTTGCTTTCAAGGTAATTGAAGCAAATTTCTGGTGAAAAGATCAAACTGGAAAAGATTAATTTTTTTGCTCCTTTATCCTTTTCATGCATTGTCACGAAAAAAACAGTAAGATTCTCAACTAGTGAAACGTTAGTTTGAGAGAAACCTGATTAAATTACAGCAAACGCTTCGTATTAAATGATATTGAAAAATTGCGTGCGTTAATTATCCACAACTAGCTATTTTGCCCAATTTAAAACTCCGTCAACTTCCAGATAAATGCTCTCAATTTAAATATGTTTATCACTAAACCAAAATACTTACAGAAAAATTGGGTCAAAGTTGCTATTTGAAAAAAATTGTTTGGAGAAAAAAATACTAAACTACTATTAATCTGTCAGCTTCTTCGTATAACGGAACAATAATTAAGCAGCTACAGTCACAAAAACTATTCTTCTGTAATTATATCGCAATTAAATTTAAAAGTCCCTTCTTGCTTATCATACGTCTGATCATACAGTTAACAGACACTAGCTGTTTTCCAGCTCTGTGCATATCTATTTCACCAGTGATCACTTCTGCAAACATTGCCGATTGCAGATTATATCTGATTCAGTCATGACTATACCTGATCAGACATAACTATACCTGAGTCAGACGTGACTCTACCTGAGTCAGAATTGACTATACCTGGTTAGACATGAATATACCTGGTCAGACATATCTATACCTGAGTCAGGCATGACTATACCTGAGTCAGACAATATTCTACCTGAGTCAGACATAATTTTACCTAGTTAGACATGAATGTACCTGGTCAGACATAACTATACCTGAGTTCAGATCGCAAATAAATTAAAAAGTCCCTACTTGCTTTTTGATCATCAATTTTTTTTCCAAATTTTTTGCTATTTTTTCATGCGCTTGGACAGAATTGGTATCCAGCTTCAATTGAAGCAAATAAATTCAAATATGTTTTTCTTGACAGTAAAGGGAGTTAATTTTTGCTTTGTTTTGACGTGTGAAGGATTGGACGGACTATTTAAGATCATGCTGGTTTTTCCTGACAAATTTCTCTTATTTAAGTAGCAATTTTTGATGGAATGTTTTATACAACGTGAAAAATCATGTTGCCCAGGGCTCAAAGTTAAAAGATCTTTGACTTGTGATCATAGCAGATTTATTTTGGCTATTTTATGAGACTACTTAGACGAGTATAATTCAAATTTCGATTTTTAACGCGCAACGTATTTAGTCGGTGCATATACAAAACAGTCCCATACAAAACAGTCCAATACAAAACAGTTGTCCGTTTTAAGGTCGACGGTGGGAGCGCTGTGCGCGCGTCGCCGCTTCGCCGCGATAACCGGCTCTAAATTTCGTATTAAGTCCTACCCTCTGTTGGCAAGCTCGGACACGTTGGCGCGACTGCGGCGGTCACTATTTTGTTCTTTATGTTTGTTCAACAAAGTACAATTCTCGGCCTACCGGCTTGTTAAAACAGTATTTTTTGGGACTGTTTTGTATCGGACTGTTTTGTATCGGACTGTTTTTTCGTTCTTTTTCAAACTTTTCCGGGATGTTTTTTTATTAGACTGTTGTGTATGGGACTGTTTTGTACAGACACGATTTAGTCCTACTCAAGCGTACGCGGCAAGTTAAAGCATTTCAAATTGAAGTGTTACAGACAATTTGAATTTTTTATTATGGTACAAGGCGCAAACTTTTTCACTCTGTACAGTACCGAGCGCTAGTATTTAAAATTAAAAAGCGTTTGGTCGACTTCGGATGTCAGTCGGAATTGCATTGGAAACTTCGGAATGTTATTTTTTGCTGTCAATTAACCCCTAAACCAATTTTAGCGATAATGCTTGTGATAATTTTTTTGATGATTTTATTTATGGTCATTCATTTACATTGATCTCAAGGTTATTTTTCTCATGTGGAAGTTTCCATTTGACCTTTTTATGATCACATATTGCATGAAGTAGCAACAAAATTAAAAAGCCGCAATTGATGGCAAAACTACTAAAAACTTAAAAACTGATGATTTTGAAGTCAATTTTGTAAATCAACTGTGTTCAGCCATCCCTTGATAGTTATTTTGCTTGTTGTGAAATCTTTGAATTTGAAATTTTCACCTAAGTTTACATCACAATTTGGAGGGGGTGTTCATGGCCTAAAAGTTTTTTCTGAAAAACATATTTTCTATCGCTTCAGTCGAATGGGGGGGGGGGGGATTCTGCGGTTGAATCACGATGTTTTCGTCCCTCTAAACATTGAAACTTAAATTTAAATCTTGCGACTAAGGCACTATTAGAAAAAACTTTGCGGATCATCAACCAAATATGAAGAGAAAATAATACTTTTAAAAGGCGAATAGGGTTGAATTTTTGCTGCTTGAGCCTGCCACCCGGAATTCATTGTCGGTTAGGTGTTTCGGTTCATTTATCAGTTGTCTATTTGCCCTAATTCCCAATAGCGAAGACTTAATTGCACAACTATTGTTAGATGAGATCAAAGAAGATGTCCATATTAAAGTTAAGGGTAGCTATTATGATGAAGATAATGAAAGTAAATGCTCGTTTCTGATTGGCTAACACTCTTTGTTTTTAACTAATCTTTTCACACTTTTGTCGTATTCTTCCACTTCACTTTTTCAGCTAATTCTTTGTTTTCAATCTTTTCATAACGGATCATAATTTAGTTTTTTGTTAAAACACGTGATTATTCAGCCAGTGTTTTTCCTCGAAAATTTATCCAGGCCAGAATCAAAATCGATAAACCATAGGAATCCGAAACTAAATCAAAAACAGAAATTTCATTTTCGATACAGCAACAGATAACTTCACTAGCTTACTTCCAGTTTATATGAAGATAAAGTAGCAACAGACAGGTATGAATAGCATCTTAATTGAATTGAGATTAAACTTTTCGAAAAGTTGGGTTCCTAGAAAAAGTATAAGAGATCCCAAAAGTTTTATGAAAACCTCTAAAACGCAAGATAACGAATGCAAAAGCTGGTTCCGAAGGTTTCTTGTTTTGTTTTTTGGTTTTTTGACCCATGAATTTCTCAGCAAATTCTCACCAATTATCATACTTGTACCAATTTTTCAATTTCTCCGAGCATTTTATTGTCCATGAGAAAAGTTTCTTGAAAATAAAAGCTTATAATTTCATTGTAGTTTATTTCTCGTTTTTTAAAATCGATATCTGCCAGGCGATTAAAATAGGAACAAAGTTCAAGTTCATGTTTTCCCAGTTACAAAGATAATGAACAATACGATTCACTGGAAATTCACATATTTTCACATACTTTAATCAATTGATAATCCGATTTAAGATACAATCGATAAGTTCAGATCGGTCGCAGCAAAGACAAGCCAAAGAAACTTTAGCTCTGTAAATTTGACATTTATAACGAAAATCATGAATTTGAACACAAACAATTCAATCAACAATTTTTGATGAAAACGGCAGCGTAATTTCCACAATAATTACCGTCTAAAATAGAATCATTTTATATATGCTTCAATTTTTTTTACTGCTTTTTAAAAACAAAAACGAATAAATATATTCCAAATTGTCCGTGGTGTGATGTCATCTGCGAAGAGCTTACTAAAAATTAAGTTGACCTTTAATTTGCTCACAATAACTCAGAAATGACCCATTTGCGCATCTGTTATTTTACAACTATTTGCTCTAGAAAAATAGCTCCAATTACGCAAGGTGAATTCTTAGTTTGTTCTTCAGTGCCAGTTTTTATATACTTTTTTCTTAGTGAGATATAAAATTCATGAATCATTCATTATCTTAAAATAAGGGGTTCAAAATAAATCATTTGAAAGGATATTATGGCTTTTAAAATGATTTTGAAAATAATATTTTTTAGAAAAAAAATGATAATTAAAAGTTGGTTTTTCAACTCTCAGCGGTATTCGTAACTTGTTTCTTCTGCTTAATTAGAAAATTAATTTTTGACACATTCTTTGTTTTGTTTAAACTTGCATTTGATTTTGCTTTTACACAGTTCGAGTTTCTTTCTTGCTGCTTTTGACAAGGTAATTTATTTTTGTCACCCACGTCTTTCTAATTACAGTCATTAATAATAAGGGAGTTTGAGCGCAAATTTGATTTTAACTATTCTAAATAAACATTATTTTTTAAAATTTCATATAACAGAGTTTGATACTATTTCACTTTGCTTTATTTCAATGTTATTAAATTTTACTTGTTTAGATCCCTAGAAAAACAAAGAATCAGTGCTGAACTCCCTTTACAACGGATTTCATCAATTCCAGTTGAAAACAAATTTCTTTCGCGAAAATCCGACAAAATGAACTCTTCGTGCTTAAGACGTTTGACAACGATTGTAGTTTTTATCTCGTTTATTTCCGAAACCTTTTCCTCGGCTTTGAAGCTAAACTCCGAATTCGCCAATATGGTAAACTTCACCCTGTACGATTCTTCAGCCGAGCTCAAATCCAATATTCAATACGATTTCAACTCATTTCAATCGAGCAATTACCAAAAAACGAGCCAAATGTCAAATTTACTAATTTTCTCGACACTTGACAAGTATTTTCAGCAATTGAATAACGAGGAACTACGCGCGATAATCGAAACCCATCCGAGCGACGTGACAACTCAATTGAAAGTTTTCAAGGCTCTTTCGGAATGCCGAAATGTCGAGACAACTTGTGCAGACAATAGATCCTCTGCGTATAAACTCACGGCATACCTAAAACCGACTCTAAAATGGACCCAAAATTTAGGGTTTAATGCTCAAATTGACGAAGTTTTTCTAACGAACGACTTCAAAAAAGTTACTTCGGATTTCGCGCGAGGAGCGACGGCGATCGAGTTGCAGTGGCTTTATGACAGAAACTTACTCACCACTCATTTGATGCGACTCGTCGGCTCTTTGTCGACTCTTAAAACCCGAGACGACGGATTATGTCGATATGTTTTCAATCTTTTGGGACAAATTCAAAAACGAGATCTAACTTTTCGTCTAGTTCCAGCAGATATAGAACCCTGGCTGCATTGTATTTCGCCTTACGAGACAGAAAACATTATAATGAACTGGAAAGAACTGATTTTGAATAATTTAGACACGTTAAAACCTGAGAGTCAAAAGGAAACAGTCGACTCTTTGACGGATTCGGTTAATTGGGCGATCGAATCAAATTTGCGCACGTATCAAAGCGAGTTAGCAAGATTAGCTAACATAGGGTCCAAGGTATCACTTATTGGAATCAACGATTTTGTTCAATTAGCATCACGATTGCTGAATATTCCAAATAACTTGCAGTTCGATGCTTCCCAGAACCCCCTGTTGATGCAAGTGTTAGAAGACAATTTCGTGACCTACTCAATGAATCGGCACAGAAGTCATTATCCTTTGGGTCAACTTCTATCACTGGTAACTCCCGAAGACTTAGAAAACCAGGGATTGGTTTCGCAAATTGAATACGTTATAGAGGACAAGACGTACAATGTAGATGCATTACCACGCGAAATGATTCAGTTTATTGCGGATACTTACAGGTCGACGAAACCTCAACAGACGCGAGAGGAACTAGCTTTAAACCTGTGTGAACTTGCGTCGGGACTCTCCCTTATAGAGTTCGAATCCCTATCAAGTCAACTGTTTTCGCAGTTGCTAGAAAAGTGTCCTCTTTTTCTTGAAACCGCAACTCAAACTCAGAAACTGATAATGGTTGATAAAATAACAAATGATTTATCAATAACGGCCCTGCCTTCAAATTTAGTACCTTATTTAGGAATACTAGAAACACAAAACTTAACATCACAAATCGACTTACCCGCGAATGAAATCAAAGATTATCTTTTCCAGTCTGAGATTTACATGCAAATTTATTCTTCCAAACGACTGAGCCCAAAGATAGCTGAAGAAATGGGTTCTACAATTTTGGGTATGGACTTTGAAGACCTTAATGATCTTTCGCTTGTGGACCAAATTGACATTTTACGCATTTACGGCTCTCGGAAAACTAAATTCACAAGATCTGAGGCTCAGTTTTCAGCAAAAATGTATCGAGAAAATTTCAAAAAATTGAATATCTTACCTGATTTTACAATTCAAATGCTACCGCATCAAGATTTATTTTTCATGCCTGCTGAAATTTTTCTCGATTTCGAGGAAAACGAGTGGGAAGGTGTGAACAAACTAGCCTGTCAGAATATTTTCAGTCGAGTGAATGACGAATATATTCTCGAATTGCCGACGTCTCGACTTAGAATGTTAGCCAAGGTTTATATGAATAACTGTAAGCGAGAGCCATCCAAACGATTGCATGAACCAATGACCCAGAAAGATGTCGATAATTTGAGGCATCTTTTGTGTTACGTTCCGATAAAAACCATCAATGACATGTCTTACGAACTGCTAAGCAACGGGTTAATTTACTTTAGCAAATGCCAAATCGACCAGAAAATTGCTCAAGTAATTCCAGAAAAACTTCATTTTCTTTTCATTACTCCGAAAAAAGTTGAAGATTTGGGCGCGAATTTTTGCTCCGTTTTCAAATTGGACAATAACTCAACGAAAAGACTTTATGTTCAGAAAGAATATTACTTATCTGCTTTTTTGAAAGTTCTGAATGAGTTGGGGAAAGAACGCGAATTGAGTGATCTACAAAGCAAATGTGCGGAATTTGTGTCAAATCTGGTTACCCAAACCATTCGATCAAATTCGATTTCAGGACTGGGATCTCTTTGCAAGTCAGGGTCCGATAAATTCCTAACTTGCCCTGTGATCCGAAGCCTTACTTGGGGCAACAGTTTCTTAGAAGCATCATATTTTCAGAAATATTCGAGTAAATGTGATTTAGAGCGATGCTCGAGTTATATCAAAGAAAATAAGAAATTCTTCAAAAACGAAATTTTAGCGGAAATCGCGGGAACAATTTTCCCGGCTGGTGCTGAAATCACACGTGAACAGGTTATTAAATCAGCCCATTTGCTTCCGTTTACAAAAATCAATACAAATAGCATCTTGAACTTGTTCAACGACAACAATCCTCGAAGTTTCGAAGTTTTGGAATCTCTTGGCAAAATTGAAGGGTTCCGTTTCGAGTCTGATAGTTTCTCTCGAGTATATGAAACTGTTGGTCCTCTAAATTTATGGAAGGTTTCGGTTCTTGGAAACCTTATGTGCGAACTACCAATGGATTTGAACAACAACGCAATCAAATCGTATTTCGAATCACGTGACCAATTAAAACAAAGTATTCCTATCATTGGTCAACTTACGACTTGTTCCGATAGATTTTATTCAAACTTTGCCAATCTAGCAGTTGACCTTTTCCGATTTCCCGAACTGAATATAACTCCATTAGTTATAGCTAAACTGGGTAATCTAGTTCCATTTCTTAATCCAAGTTGGCTTAAATATGCAAGTACTTTGACTTTACAGGCAGTTCAGCCAGAAATAGTGAACAAACTTAGTTTCACCGGAGTAATCGAACCGAATCTGAAACGGTTCTCTGTAGAACAAATTTCGAAACTATCCGATGTTCACTTGAACCGAATGAACTTTGATCAGCTGGAATATATCCACTCGCTGACCAATGGGCTTGCAGAGGCCGAGTTTTCGTCGTATACGACAACAAAATCGCCCCAAAGCGAAGTCGAATCAGAAAGTGTGCTGCCTGAAAATTACGATTACTTTTCGGAGAACTATGTCAGAGTTATTTATATCATCAGCAATGTCGATAAACTCTTCTCAAACGTTTTGCTTGTGTTCAGTTTGCATATCTTTATCAGATTTTTTTTAGTTAGAACTCTATAATTTTTTCCAATTCTTTGCACAAAATTTATTTTGCTTCTTACACTTTTTTCATCTGGGCAAAGTTTCTTTGGGAAAGCTCGGAAAATCAATTTACTGGTGAAGCTATACAAAGCGACCAAGTTTTTGAGTTTTTTTGAAACACCCTCAAAAAAATTTGCCCCTGCTTAGAAAAGATACTTAAAAATTGGTATTTCAAGGAATTTCGCTAGAAAGGCTTAGGTTTAGTCTGAGAGGTTTCTTGAAAAAATAAAAATTCCCATTTTTTTCAGTTTGTCTGCTGGACTTGATCCGAGATTTTATAAAAAAATATATATATATGCTGGATTCAAGAACAATCAGTATCATAGAAGTATGTTAAAAAACATTCATTACGAGGCCAAACTGTTCACTGGATAGGCGCACAGTTTTGTGTCTGTATGTTCTGGATTCCAGAGACAAGTCTTTGAACATGTTAAAATTTTGTCGGAACTTTCAAAGAAAAGTTAAAGAACATAAGAAAGAACAAAGGGAGCGTCCTTCTTGCGGAATTCGCTTACAATTCACAAAATGCGCAGTTTGGCTTCGTAATGTTTGAAAAATTTGAAAAAAAATAAACATCATTTCGACAAATTGTAATTTTATAGCTCTTAAAAACCTAAAAATGAAAAGAAATGATATGTTACACACCATCAGGGATCCAGGAATTTTTAATCAAAAGTCAAATTTTTCAAAAACTTTTTTTGGCCTTTTTTCTAAAAATTTGCCAGCAGCACAAAAATTTTGGTCAAAACGGAGACTCTATAATGATTCTTACAACCTCATCATTTTTCATGAATTAAAGGGGTATTCAAGGAAAATGAAAATCAAGTTCGTCAACGTAATGGAAAGCAACGAAAACTCACCGTTCAAAAAAAAATTTAAAACTTTACTTTCATAATAATTCAGCGAAAAATATCAAAAAAGATGATGTTCTGCGCAAAGGAATTTCCCGCAAAATTAATTGAAAAAATTACATGAAACAAAATCTTCAGAAACAAAAAATCTGCGAAAATATTTGGATACTTCTCTGAACATATACTTCGAAACTCTTATTTATTTTCTGTGATAATAGACACAAAGAACTGAAATTTTTAAAAAGCTACTAAATCAAACTAATAAAGCTAATATAAGTTAGTTTTAGTTTTTGGTTGATAGAATTTTTTTTTAAGATATAGAGTGTCAGTATCAACAACTGAAAAAAATGATATGACTGGAACAATCAGAAAAATCTTTAAAGTACAGGCCAAGATTTTGTTTTCATATTTTATTACGCTTGCGATTAGCAAGCGTCATCAAATTCGGAATAAAGACTTTATTCTAGTTACTAGCTAGTTTAACAAATTCACTTGAATCAATTTAACTTTGGTTTACATGAAATCAAAAGTCAGCTGTTAATTCATCGCACTTGGTCTGAATATAAGGCAGTTGCCTTTGAAATATGTCAGGGGATTGAGTCCCCCCTATGTCAGGGGATCGAGTCCCGACCGGTTCTTTTTTCAGTTTCCGAAATTGAAATTTTTTGCGGGAAAATTGATTAGTTTGATTTTATTTTGTCGTCTTACGTTTTGTCGGCTTAGTTGCCAACCCACAATTTTTTTTGTGCTGTAATTAGTTTTCATTGTAGCCTCAAGTGTCGTCGATTAACTCTTGTAGTTTGTAAAACTACTATATCTGATGGCGGGGGCAGAACTAGGATTTTCTCGAGGGGGGGGGGGGGTTCTGTTAGTTTTTACAAAAAAAATTCAAAAGTTCATGGACCTTTTTTTTCAAGTCGATCAAACTGATTATCCGAGCTCAGAAAAATGCGGTTTTCGGCTTTTTTAAAAAAGTTTTCGACAAAAAGTCGCGTTTTTTTTTCTAGCGCAGACTCCCCCCTCAAATTTTTTATATATGGGCGCCGCCAAAGGCGCCAATTTAGAAATTTTAGGGTCCGTCAGCCAAAACAGAGATCTTAAAATAGTACAAAGAGGGGACCGGCTGATTGGTATAATAGCCGTTTTTTTTTGGTTTTCTTAGCCTAGAAAATTTATTCCGCCTAAATGACTTCGACTCTTGTTTTCTCGGCTTAGTGTACTTATTTTGCATCGGTATAAGGATGAAAAACAAATAATCAGATCGGCTGGTAGTATAGAAGTTACAAATTTCAAACTCTTTAATCGCTCATATTTTTTTATAACAACAATTTCCTTTGACATTTTTTTTCGGTATAATTGGCATCTAGTTAAGTTTTATTGGCTTAGTAGAAACTAGGAAAATACTAAAAGCTTGCTTAATGCTTTTGGTTGTGAGTTTTGTATGTTTTTCTGAGATTGAACGTTTCGTATTTTCAAAAATATATTGATATGTTTATGACATTTCTTTTGGTTATTTTGTTTTCGGATCGATTGGCGTCTGATGAAGTGTTGCTGGACACTCGAAAAATATTTGAAGCTAGCCTAATTGTGTAGGCCGTGTTTCTTTTTGTTTTTCTAGGATTGAAATTTTGCATTTCCAGATTTTTTTTTTTTTTCAATTTTTTCCACTTAGTTATTTCCATCTCACTGACCATTTAATTGCTTGCAGTGGTACGCTTTTTTTATATCACAAGTCATGCCACGCTTCGCTTCGCCTCTGTGTAAAAACATACATGTTTAAGATGGAAGAATTGGCTTACGCCAAAAAAATTGAACAACCTCATCTTGGAAAGAACGCTTCTGATTTAATCAAACAGAGGATGAAAATGGTTTTTAAGACTTAAAATCAGTTGATCTTGATTTATATAATTATTATAAAATTATAAATCTTTTGTGAATTGAATTAGTGAAAAATTTTTAAATAATGATTAATTTGCTAATGCACCTGAAAAGTGTTCGTATTTATTGCGTCATCATGATTGCTTCAAATTTGTAAGTAAATGATGGGGCGATTGATATGTTTAGTTGCTGCGCAATTTTATCCTAGATGTTTTTTGAATTTTACTAAAAATTCTGATAATGATTTCATGAGCTAAGAAATAGCAAGAACTTTAATTTAAAACTTTATCAAAAAAGTACAATTTTTTTTCTTCAAAACAAAAGAATTAAATGGTCCCAATCTTGTTTTCTCCGCGGAAATTCATATAAAATATGATGAAATTTTTTCCAAAAGGTAAACGCTAATGATCAAAAACAAATTTGGTGCAAAAAATTTTTGAAAAAAATGCTCAGTTTTCAATTTTTGAACCAATCTCTTGTGCGCAGTTGTTTGAATGCATAATTTTTCACAGGATCAAGCTTCAAAACTAGTGCATGCTAAAAGAGCAGTTTTTAAAGCAGACCTATTAAAGACGAAGCACATTGTACAGTTGATTTTTAAAAATAGTTTTCGCGAGTAATTGCAGACGAGGGACATTGTAAGGCTGTTGCTCCAACCATGTGAAAAATGGGGAAGGGGTTTTCTGTTCGGGTATGTTATAGTTCCTTTTTGTCTTCCACGAAAAATGAGGCACCACAAATAGTCATCGGAATAAAGTGAGTGATATACTAGATTTAAAGCCATTTCAACCGTGGTATGAAAAAATTCAAAAAGTTCCAGTAACGAGAAAAACAGGTATGAATTTTCGATTTTTAGTCTTAATTTTAATTCGAGCGAATAAAGCGAGCGTGCAGGCTTACATTAGCTGACTTTAATTGCTTAATAGCTTACAGTAGCTTAATTTAAGCCGTGCAAATTTCAATTTAATTCGAATAAAGATAAAACTTTGAGGTATTTACCGCCTTTTTGAAATCAAAAACTTGAGAAATTCAAAAAACTGCAAAAAGTTTGAAACTTTTTTTAAATTTTTTTGTTGAGTTTTTTGCTTTTCTAGTCATATGTCTGCAAAATGTGCCTTCAGTTTGTTTAGTTTAATATGACCGTCGAATATGGCTGATCTTTACTTTTTCGCTCAAATATTTTTATCACACCTCGCAGAAAATACGACACTAATTTTGAAAACTTTTTTTTTTTTTTCTATGACTATAGTCAATTCATTCTGTGCTACTTGCACAGTAACCGGCCATCCTCGTTTTTCGTTCATTTTTGTGAAAAATCTATCAATTTTTAAAATTCAAATGATACAAGCTTCGCCCTTGTTGGACTTATTTTCTCTTTTATTTCAAAATCAGGAAGTTATATGAAGCTTTTCCAGTTTTTCAGCCCAATATGAAAAGGAAACAATTCAAAAGAAATGAAACCAATGTATTTTTGAAACAAATTGAAAAAATTATGTTTTTGATACATGTATTCTCAATTAAGTGTCCCAAAGTTGGTGTTTTGACATTTTGATAGCTAAATCATTAAGTTCGAATCTGATTAGTTGAAATTAATTTCAGGGAAAAATGGGTTTTCTTTAAAATTTTTGTTCAAATATATTGGTAATTTTGGGTGGTATAAGAGAAAAACCCGAGGGAATGACAAAGGTATTAAAATAGGTTATCTTCATATCATTTTCTTTCATCTCATTTCACTTACAGATTTTTTCTCTGATCTTCTTAAAGAAGTCAGCTATTGGTTTGCGATAGTTTTTCTGCACTACGAACAGAATGAAAGGACTGAAAATAGACGTGAAACATGGTGAAAAGCTCAGAATACTCGATGCAAAAATATTATTGTCCACTGGGAATCTGTATCTCTCCCACGGAGGTAATTTCAATTCTGCGTAGAGTTCAAACAAGTCCTGTCTGAGTTTTACCATCAGACTCACAATCCATATGAAACACGTGAAGCAAAATGCCATGACCAAATTGACGTTACGACCCATTTTTTTCTTTCTTTGAGCCAAAACGTAGCTCATTTTGCAGTAGAGAATTGTCGAGATAATGGCGGGTACGTAGGAAAAAACAGCAGATGAAAGAAGAGACAGTCCGAACCGAAGTCGGTAATCTCTATTGTACCCAAATGTAGGCGCTTCAACGGGATATTTTTAACTACCCCCCCCCACCCATGGCAGTTAAGGATATAACCAACCCCCACCCCCTAGACAAAGGATTAAGTCGACGGTTGAGCATGTACGCACCATGTTTT